GACCAGCTTTACTTACGCTCTCTAAAGCAACTTCAAGTTACAAAAAATTTAAATTACAGAAAAAGCGCTTAAGAAACAGTAAAAAAAGCCGCCCAAAGACCTTTGCTTCATTGGAACAACTTCTCATTGCGTTCTTTAAGCAACTTTTATATTAAATTCCTTTTCAAAAAACATGTAACTAAAAATTTATTTATAAAGCAAATAAAGTTGTCTAAAGCTTTTTGGACAGCTCTCCTTATTACTTTCTAAAGCAACTTTTTAAAATTAAAATTAGAGTCAAAAATTTGTAATAAAAAAGCTGTTTTAAAGCCAGAAAGAAATTTCACAAACAAAGCTTAACATAATTGAAGTTAACACTCAACCGTTGTTGGGCTCATAACACACAACTCTGCGGCTTACTGGGCCGGGAAACCCAAGCCCACCCAGCGTGCAATGGGCTTGTATTATAAAGAGCAGAGAAGGCAGTTACAACTACCAATTACAATATTACAAAAGTAAGCTGTTGTTTAGTAGAACCGAATATCTTACACATGATAAATACAAATCTCATCTTTGTATAATAAAAATTCCAGACTTGTACTCAGGATTTACTTTTATCTTTCTTTTCTTTATGGCATCCAAGGATGATCTAAACCTTATTTACTCTTATATTAATAATCAATTAATAATTATATAGTAATAATATTAGACTTACTTTTAGAGACGCAAGGTAGGTCGAATGAGTGGGTATTTTAATAGCTCCCAATAGTATTTTTAAGCTACTTTATTTTTTTTAATTCAAATTATTTTTATGAAATTGGAGATGAATTTCTGTTCGAATGTCCCTTACTGTATTTTATTGAAAAAAAAAAAGTTTTTTTGGTTTGAAGGATGCCTAAAGCTATTTAAATGTTCAATTATCATAATTAAATATTATTATTATTTTAAAAGTGGTGCTTGTATCAACAATAAGTTTAAAATTTATTAAAATTTCTTTAAAGTTTTTTAAAAAAGTAATTTTTTATTTATCCTAAATAAATGTTAAATTAAATCTTTATTTTTTATTAATGTTTATTTATTTCAAAAATGTGTAATAAATAATTAAATATGATCATAAAATGCGATTTATTTCCCTTAGAAATTGAAAAATGAAGTTAAAAGGTTATGAGAATAATAAAATTAGAGTCATTCTTTTTATTAATGAGAGTTTTATTTCATTACAGAGAAGGTCAAATAAAATTTTTAGTATATTTTAATCAAAATTGGGAAAAAATGCTAACAAAATGCATTTATTAATATTTTTATGTAAATATAAATATCTATTAATTATATTAATGCTAACATATAAATTTGAAAAATGGAATTCAAACAAATAGACCCGCTTTAAAATCTCTTGAAAATAAAAATATATTTTAGAAAAAAATTAATTAACTAATGGAAAAAATAATCTCTTTTTTTAGAAATATAGAGATTAAAATAATTATTCATTAATTATAATTAGACCATCTAATCTAATGTGAAATAAAAAGTATTTTTATTGTATTTATTTTTATAATAATAAATAAAATAAACAATATGTAAAGTAGGTTAAAAGTGTGCCTGAAATAATTTAATATATTATTCTCTAACTAGATGTAATTAATTTTATATTTATGTCATTTAGTGATATCATTGAAGCTAATAAAAAATTTCATTCGTAACAACTAAGATAGAAAGGTTTCTTATGATTCTCATTTGTTTTTTATATTTTGGGGGCCAAATTGTAAATTAAGAACTAATCATTTATAAGATAATTAATGGAATTTGTTTTACATTATGGGTATGCTAAGATAGAAAAAATTTAGGAGTATTTAGATGTTAAGTGGTTAAGTCTAATGAATAATAATAATAATAATAATAATAATAATAATAATAATAATAACAATAATAATAACAATAATAATAAAGTTTTAATTTGATCATTGAGAAATGATAATCAAATTATTATTTATGAGGATTTCATTTTATTTCAAAATGAAAAAAAAATGAGAAATTAGAATATAAATAATAAAAACTAAAAAGTTACTTACTATCAAAATAAGATATTATTTTTAAAAAATTTAAATAGCTTAATACATAAACTTTTTAAAAAATTTAAATAGCTTAATACATAAACTTCTAAATTTTAATATATTTTAGTGTATTTTACCATAATTATTTTTAAACGAGCTAGCTCACGAGCTATCGAATTTGGTATATATGTTGGATCAATTAAGTTTGACTTATTAGCTCATTGCTCATGAGCTATTTATCAAGTCGATCGAGCTTGAGCAGGCTCATGAGTCAACTTGACTCTTTTACGACCTTATTATCAATTAAGGGTCAATTTGGGATAGCTTTCTAGCTGCTTGGTTTTTCAGATAGCAACCACAATTTTCATTTGGATACTACTTTCTTGTGCTTTCTCACTGCTTTCAAAATTTTTTTTGATGGAAAGCTGCTTTCTGTAACCATAATAACGAAGTTGATCGATTTACCTATAGTAACTTCACAACTAACTTAATAAAATACTGCAACCATCCAAAACAATCCCCTAAATAAAAAATAAAAAATAAAAAAAAGGTCTCTTTTTTTTTTTGATGGGCCTGTTCTACCAAAAAAATCATATCTCTTTCTTTTATTATTTTTATGTTAGCTGCATGGGCCAATGCCCTGAAATTAGTTTAGTTATATCCCTTTAATAATTTAATTAGCTGAGCAAATATATAGTATGATATATATTTAGATAAGATTAAATAAGTTAAGGGATTGGTTTGCTTTAAATGCTTCCCATAAGGGCTTAGCAATTGAAAAAGGCAGTTGGTTAGTAGTGATGAATGCATGGTGGGTAAATCATTTGAATTTTATTTATTTTCTTACAAGGTTTTTGATTAGGCAATATTTATTTTATTAAAGAAAAAAATTAAAATTATCTTGTTTTGAATAATGAGGAGACAAGATAGAAACCTTGTGGTGATGTGATGATTAATAAAAGATATCTCTATCTATATTATTTATATTGTCAATTATCTAATTAATGTATAACACAAGGGCGTAAAATGAATGAAGCCGACTTGTGAGTTGGCTCAAATTTGGCTCGATAAATAAGGGTGTCAAAATGGGTTGGAGAGTTGGGTTTGTGCCCAACTTGGCCCAAATTTGGTCAACCTGAACTTAAACAACAAATTAAACTCAAACTGCCAATAACCCGAATAACCCGAACCTAACCCGCAGTGGCGGAACCACTTGCATCTTTGCCCCGCCTCAAAATTAATTAGAGTTTATAATGGAAGAATGAAATAGAACTGACTGACATATAATATGTTATAGACTGAATATGAATATAGATAAATGGTGTATATATATATATATATATATATTTCTTTATATTTAGTTATTATAATATTCTTTTTCATGCTTTTCATGACAGTTCAATTACACTCTTTTTTCTTCTTTTTTCTTGCTTAATTTTTTTTTTTTTAACTTTTCGTAATATATGTAATTATTTTTATGTTGTATTTGCCCTCCCTCAAAATTGAACCTGATTCTGCCCCTGACATCCGGTATCTAGACCTAATAATTTTCCCCCACAATATACCCCAACCTAAGAGCTCACATAAATTTCTTTTTAAAAAAAATTGGCTTAAATATCATGCATTTTGGGAAGCTCTGCACACCTCCTTTTCTCAACCTCATCCTGAAAACTCAATTTCTTCCCTTTATTTTAAGCATCATTCACTCAAACAAAACAGTAGATGTAAATCTTAAGTTTCTTGTTGACGCCATTGTTTCTTACTCTATAACGGGGCAATACCTGATGCTTTGATTAAATGCAATATACCCATTCAGCTTTTACATTCTTTATGCATAGAGTTTCAGGAATCCACTTCTCACTTATTTTTTGAATGCCACAAGTCTTTTGGCATTATTTGTTACTCCCTCACAGGCCTAATTTTCTTCAGTAGCGAAGTCAATTATCTAAAATTGTGCAATGTGGGAAGAATGAAAAAAAAAAAAAAAACTATTTTTTGTTTTTTCTTTTTGCATTTACTACATTTGGAGATAAAGAAATGCTAGGAGATTTGGTGGTATTATTGAAAGCTCATCCATCACTTATGCTAAAATTAAAGAAGCTCTATTTTACAAGACAAGCTTAGAAGAATTCAGGAGCTATTCAGCAGCTTATTCCCCTAATTTTGATTATGGTTCTCTTCATACATTATTCTTCTAGATGATGCCTATTTGAGTGACATGTTCCTATTATGTTATGGGCTTTGTTGAGTCGGAATTGTTTGGTTTTCTTTCTTGTTATCATATGGAGTTTTGGCGGACTATGATGAATATAATGTTTCCTCTCCCATCCCCTAGGAAGATCTCTATGACAACTAGGGGATGTGGACTCTTCTTCAGAATTATCTATTGAGTTAGAGCTTATCTATATTATTTTGAGTCAACATTTTGAGATTTCTCAAAATTTTCTTTGTCAAATTGATCTTTTTAATTAAGCATTGCTAATTTTGATGCAACTCTTTTTTTTTTTTTCCTGTCATAATATTGAGTTGTAATTTTTTTTAGCTTTAATGCAACTATATTTTCATAGAGTAATGAAATTGGGCATTGCCCCCAACTTTACCAAAACAAAAAATTAGACATTAATCTTTCTCTATTTGTGCCACACAACAATTCTAAATGCTCTCTGGTCAATGAACTTACTCATTCTTAGAGTTTGCTGAGAAAAAAAAAAAGAAAGCAAATCTTCGAAGCATTACTCTCAAATAAAAGCAAATCGCTACCTGATTAGCAACGGTTATATTAAGATTCAAATACAAAAAAACTGAGATTTACAGAGCCAAATTTCTCCAAATAGACAAGAAAAAAGCACGAAAATCGACGGCCAAAGCGAAGCCAATCGTGCTGGTATGTATATATATATATATATATGCTAAATGAAACGTCTCTCTCCCTTTCGGGCCTCTAAACACGCCTGTTTTGCCCCCGTCAAAAGCACCAGCTAGCTAGCTACTCTCTGGTCTGGTTTACAGAGAAAGAGACCAGGAAGGAGAGCGAAAACACGCTGAGCGATGGGGGAAAGAGAAATGATGAGAGACTGCTTTCTCTCTCTTCTTCTTTCCTTCCTATTCTTTCATGCCTTTTAGAATCCTTGATTTTACTGTCGCCAAGGAAGCCGCCGATGCTCGCTTAATGACAGTGTCTTCGCCGGCTAAAACTAACATATAGTGTCCAATGGCTCTCTCGTCTAATCTCTGCTGCGCTGAGGATGCCGAAGACTTAATCTACTGGGGAGTCGATGACGCCGCCGGCGAAGTATCTGTTGACCAAAACGTAACGACTTTTTTCCCGGTAACCGGTGAGAGTCTCCGTTCTCTGCTTGCCGCGGAAGATGGTTATATGCCACAATCGGAGTATATGTCCCGCTATCTGACTTGCTCCGTTGACCTCACTGCTCGCCAGGATGCCATCAGCTGGATCCTCAAGGTATTTTCTTTCCTATTCGACATGGCTATAAACTTGATAGAAATTGAGAAAAATGTTCTCTTGATAGCTCTCTCTCTCTCTCTCTCTCTCTCTCTCTCTCTCTCTCTCTCTCTCTCTCTCAGTTTCTAAGCATTGCACTGTGTTTCTGCTTCTCCATTGTAGGTATCGGAGTTTTACCGCTTTCGCCCAGTCACTGTCTACCTCTCTGTCAACTATCTCGATCGCTTCCTCTCTGTCAGTGTTCTTCCGGTTCCCCATTTTCCTCATTTCCTCTCAGCCAGCTGAATTTCAAGTATTTTCTTGATTTATTTAGAAGTTTTCCTAACAGGGCCAAAACGGGACAGTGCAATGCGCCGGTAGTTGGCCGATGCAACTTTTAGCAGTGGCCTGCCTCTCGGTTGCGGCAAAAATGGAGGAGACAAAAGTTCCCCTGCTTCTAGATCTCCAGATTCTTCACCCCGAGTTCGTCTTCGAACCGAGAACAGTCTGCCGCATGGAGCTTCTTCTCATGTCCGCGCTCCGCTGGCGAATGCGCGCCGTCACTCCATTCGATTTCATTTCATCCTTCGCCGCCGCAATTGTCTTCGCCGACGTTAGCGCTTCCATTCCCTCGTCAGCTTTCTCTCGTTCAGCAGATCTGATTCTCAGCACCCTTCGCGGTAAAAATTCGAACTTGTTCTCCTCAAGCCACCAACGATGTCTCACAATTTTACTTCCTTTGCCTTCTTGTCTCTTTGTCCAAGCAGTCATTGATTTCCTCGGTTTCCGGCCGTCGGCTATTGCCGCTGCGGCGGTGCTCTGCGCCGCCTCGGAAGCCGTCCTATCCTCCGCAACTTATGACTCGAGCATCTTTGAAGATTTGGTCAACAAGGTAATTCCCAATATCAAACTCTCTACATCCACCATCGGTAATTTTAAGCTTAGGTACTGCACTCTCGATTGTCCCGCCAATAGTTCAGGCGGTGTTGGGACCGCTTCGTGATTCAAACCAGACGAGAATTACCCTTTAAATACTTTAACCAATTTTTTTCTGACTTTTCGTGTTTGGATGGCAGGAGATGGTGAGTGATTGTCGCCAGCTAATGGAAGAATATCTGATCGACACGTGTCAGACAGCTCGCCGTGACACGGCGGCACTTCCCGCCGTCGAGCCGCTGAGTCCCGTCGGCGTTCTCGACGCGGCGGCCTGCGGCAGCTGCGACACTCAGAAATCACCCGTCGCCGGTAAACCGAACTCTGACCCCGGCGGCTCGGAATTTCCGCCGACGAAGCGCAGGCGGCTCGCTGACAGCTTGTGTACAGTAATTATTAAGGGCCAAATCACTTGAGAGAGACAATTCGATGATAATTTCTCAAGCTGTTTTCTATCAATTTATAATAATTATTTTATCATGATGAGAGTTTAATTATATCGATGCTAATCATATCATTTAGGTTAACTAACTGTATAATTATAATTATGATTAATTAACCATTTTTTCTCATTTGCTGTGCAAAGCGCAAGCTCACTAGCAATCTTAAGGAATTTTCCTAATATACCCATGGCACTTTATTAAAGGCGTTGCTAGTTTCGAGGTTAAAGCGGGAAATCATAGCAAGCTCTTTTTTTTCTGCTTATTTTATTTTAAAACTTGTAATTTAATCAGAGCAAAATAAAATAAAATAGTGTTCTTTATTTTTCCGGGCCACGAAGGCTCAAGATTAAATGGGCCCACTTATAATTGAGCCTTTGATGTTAAACTCATACTGGGCCTGACAAGCGTATTTTATTTGACTGATAATTTATATGAGCGAGTCTAAGAAAAGATAAAGGGCTTCAGTTCTTTATTCAGTGCGAGATGAAATTTACTGGGATTTTTTGGTTGCAACTATTTAAAATTTAAGAAATTTGAGAGTTTAGTATAAATAAAAATTATTTAATCTCTATTGATTTTACTTTCTTTAGTTAATCCAATTTAGTAATTCAATCATCTATTTTTTGTCTGATTAGGAAACAATTTTTCTCAAGGCCCGTGGGAGGTTAGTTAGATATGTTTTGTCTCCTTCATGGGCTGGTTTCTTTTTCATTGGGCCCACCTCGTAGGGCCCATTTGCTATTTTCTCTCCTTATATCTTATCAAAATCCTATTCTTTCTTCACCACACATGTGATCTATAGGGTCTCCCCCAGCAGCTCAGATAGCATATTAAATGACAGATCAGATCTCATCTTGTCTTTATAGAAAAATCTAAATTACATTTTTTTTAATCTTATAATTTTTAATTAAAGAAATTGATAATATTCTGCTTGCTAAGAACCCTTCTCATTAACATTTAATTATTTTGTAATAAATTATTGTGAAAAAAACAGACAAAACATAATTCAAATAATACAAAAAATGAAAAGTCAATATAGCAACTTTCAGTAATAATTTAATTTCGAGATAATGTTTAAAACATGTTGAGGACGTATGTTTGGTTCAAATGCTGTAAGACAGCTTACAAACCGAATATAAGAAACAAGTAAGAAAAATAAATAACTCACTAATATATATAAATCAGTTCGATAGAACACATCATCATCTTCACTAATTGTCTCTCAATTTTTCGAGATCTATGAGCTAAAAGGTCTTTTGCATTGTTTTTAAGATAAAATTTTAACAAGTGTATGCTGTCCGTCAAACGATACAATCGAATGCAAAATAGTCGCTAATCTCCAGAAGTTTTGGCATCACACTGTTCACCTATGCCAAAAAAATTTGCATACAGGACTTGCGGAAGAAACGCACAAAAGAGGAGAAATAATGTTCCTTCGAAGCAAGATGAAGAAGCAGATGAAAGATGAGAAGAAAGGAAGTTCGATTGGAGATGAATTACTTCATTTTAGGGCATCTCCAACCGAACGTCAAACGAGCGTATGGCGTCGTTCGGTCGCTTCAGCTGAACACCAAATCTTCCGTCATTTACTTGCGGGTGAACAGTGGCGTCGCACTGTTCACCTACGCTATTTTGCTCTCTCAACCGGAAAAACGCGCGAAAGGGAGAAGGATTGTTACCTTCGCAGAAGCACATAAAATGACGTTCGATTGGAGCAGCACCACGGCATTTTGAAGTTTTGTTGTATTTTGTCGTGAAAAACAGAGTTCTCCGTTGGAGATGCCCTTAGAGTCTTACTGCATTTTGGAGTGGAAAATGAGTTTTTTGGTTGAAGATGCCTTCGTAAGTTGTATGGTATTTAGGTTTGTTTGAGAAAGCTTTCTTTTTTTTTTTTGTAAAACTTTGTTGTTCAAAAATTTTTTGTTCAACTAATATTTGTACTAAAACATTGCTTTAGTAAGCTATCCTGAACAAAGTTTAAATAACAGCATTGCATGACTTTTATAGCGAACAAAGAACTATGTAGGTTTTAATCAGGGTCAGTTTGGGAGCTGATGTGTATATTATAAATAGGTTCTTTTCTAAAAACTCAAATATTTTTTTCTTAAAGTTGCCGTACATTAGTAACTATGGTTCTAAAAAGTAGCTTAAAATCATAAAAAAAAAAAAAAGTGATAAGTACAAAAAAAGTAATGAGCAAACCAAATTATAACTAAGAATTGAGAACCAAAATAGTTAGAATATAGGCTTCATTTGGACGGGTTTTTTATTGATTTTTAAAGTAGCTTTCTATTATGAAAATTTCTACAAATCATTGAAAAAATAATGATAAAAAATTGTCCGAAACAAAGCCTTAGTTTGACAACGACTTCATTATTCCTACTGTAATTAATTTGATTGTTGAAGCATAAATTTTAAATATACAATGAATTTCATTTTAAGAACTTGGCAATAATTAACAAAATTTTTGTAATTTAAATTTCATTCACACCACAATGATCCAATATTCTATCCCATTTCTCATAGATCAGATTCCATGAAGGAAGAAAGCTGTAGACATGCTTCCTAGGACTACATTAGTGGCTTCGTCCCCCTTGCAATATTAGCTCATGGAGAGGAGAAATTATTACGTGCGGTCACCGGACTGTCTAAAGTCTATCAGCACACGCCACGTTGCCCAATACACGCGGTGCATAAAAAAATGACAAATAGTAAATTGGTGAAGTGGCGTGTCCTGATTGGCCTCTGGACGACGTAATAATTTCGCCAGAAGAACAGCCACAAGCATCAGACTCTGGCACGAATAATTTAATTTTAATTAAATTAATAATTCGATAACCAAATTTCAGATTATAATTTCATTGAAAAAGATTAATTATCTGCAGCAATTTTCAATAATCTCACTGTACGTTGAAGGCCAAAAGAAAACCCTTCATAGGCTGATGAGAACCCACTTCGGCAACGCAATAGGGAAAGTTTGAGCCAATAGTTTATGAGTAATCACATCAATAAATTATTAAATTTATATGAAGATCAATAGGAAAATTATATTTGAATCAATTCAAATAAAATCTAATGATTTAAGATGTTTAAATTTGCAAAAAAAAAAAAAAATTTCAGTCAGTATCTTAGTCAAAATTTTAGTCATAACGGACTTCAAAATTCTTGAATATACCTTAGAATAAGTGAAATTTATACATAATTAATTTTGCATTAATCAAAAAGTAGATTTAAGGGTTTTAAGAAGGGGTTGAGTGTGAGATAGTCGAGCGGACTTGAATTCTTGCTTAATCGAGCCAAACTCGTCTAACCAGGGGAACCAAGAAGAGCTCAGGGTGGACAATTTTTAACTATTTTGCTCACCTTTAATAAATATAGTTGCCCAAATTATTAAAAAAAATAATTATCTATATCATATATACGATTATGCATTTCACAATTCTATTTGGCCAACCATAAAAAAGGTATTGATTCCGCTCCTGACTTGAGCTCGGGTAGAGTGAAAAATAAGAAGCTTGAGTTTTATAAAAAAATTGTAGCTCTGCTCATTTATGGAGTTTAATTTCCTATTTTGAATTTGGACCAAAAAAATACAAATAATTAAAATTAATTGATCATGCTCAACAAGCCAACTAGTAGGACTAGTCGAAGCTCGAATTTTTATAATATAAGACCTCAAATTAAATCTCGAACTTGAACTTGTATCTGCATAAATTTGATCAGTGATCTCATTAGCTAGTTGAGTTTGAACAAACTTACGAGCCGAGTTATCTCACTTACACCCCTATTTTTAAGCCACTTGAATTTTTTTTTTTAACCTTCATTGATAGGTCATGGTCTTCGTCACAGTACTCCTCAGCACGTTTTGGGACAGCTTTTTTGCTCCTTTCTAAAATAACTTTTTTATTGTAAAAATTTTGTGAATTAAAGATTTTTGTATTAGAAAATCTTTATAGAAAGTATAAGAAAATTTGTGGAAGCCTTAATTTTCTTGAAATTTAGTATCTGTCTAACGAAAAGTTATTACGTTCGGTCAAAAAAATCAAAAATCCGGACAAATATCAAGCGATACCAAGTGCTCGGTACCGAGCGTCCAAGTGACATGACGGTTTGTTATTGATCTCTGGACGCATTCGATGTCCGAACACAATAATTACTCGTGTCTAACGCATCGAATGCTCGCAAAACACTCGCCATCTACCACAACATTTTCATATAAAGAGGAGAGAGAGAGACTAAACTTATCAATTTTTTTGGACCAATTTATAAAAAGGAGCATGTTTATGTAAAATATGCAGATTTAAAACACTCTATTTTTTATAAATTGGCCATTTTCTTGCTTTCTCGCTTGCAAAATTACATTGTGTTCCCTAAGCTCTGCACGGCCCGTGCATTTTATAGTACAAAGTACAAACAATAAATTTTAGAAAATCATTTTATCGAATAAAAACTATGGGAGGGGTAAAAAAGGTAAATACTTTTAGGGTAGATCTGAAGGTTTTTTTTTTTTTAAATTGAGTGAAGGCATTATTATATATTTGAATTTGTAAATAATGCAGGACATAGAATATGAAATATCTATGAAAGGTCAATTCCGTTGCATATGAAGCTACACAACAAGCCACGCCTAATTTCTTCATTATTGATACTTCAAGCAAAAATTATCTTGATCGCGCACGAATCTCAAGGCAAAAATCAAGTTGGAACCTTCAAAAATTAAATTCGGAAGCACCTGAACTCTGATTTCAGCAAACTTACAGTCAAACTGAGCGTCTCGGAAATACAAACCCAACGACACCAAATTCGACTCGATCCGAGCCCAAATGGGTCCAAATCAAGGACCCGAAGCACCCTTGGAAGGTTCAAACCGTAATTTGAGTTACCAAACGGTCTCCAATTTTAACGAGCTTATACTCGAATCGAGCGGCTCGACGAGACGAATCCAAAGAGCCAAAGATCGCTGAATTTCTACATCATTAAGGCCTCCAAATGTCCAATGAACGGTGCACGATCGAAGCGTTCAATATCGGCTGTCCGTTCAAACCACT